ATGCTCATATATTTGCGCACCCTCAGACAAACATTTGCCCATACACACACGCACACAAAAAAACTCTTCTTCACACACACACAGGCGAGGTATGCGCGTTGAAAGAGATCAGTCTGGACGAAGAAGAGGGTGCCCCATGCACCGCCATCCGCGAAGCCTCTCTCCTGCGCGAACTCAAGCACGCTAACATCATCATACTGCACGACATCATACACACACCCAAGACTCTGACGTTCGTGTTCGAGTACTTGAATATGGATCTGAAGAACTACTTAGATATGGCTGGGGGGTACATAGACATGCGCAACGTGCCCATTCTGTTCATCCAGCTACTCAGGGGCCTCGCGTTTTGTCATAAGAAACGTATTCTGCACCGAGACCTGAAGCCACAGAATCTGCTCATCAGGTACAAGCGCTTGTGGACACTACAAGTAGAACACATACACACACACATACACATACACATACACATACACATACACATACACATAAACATACACATGCACATGCACATACAAATACACATACACATACACATACACATACACATAAACATGCACATACACATATACACATACACATACATACATACATACACATATTATACACTTACGCATACACACTCGTTTAACCAGTGAGTTTAAATGGACGCGCGCACGAACACTTGATACCATCAATAGTATAACTTAAAAATATAATAATTTATGATGCGCTATCAATATAATATCAAGCAATGACAGTCACACACAGAACGTACGGCAAACTATCAACAGTATACGTCACACCCCATAGTCGTAATAGCTAGAACCTGCCGTAAACCCTAAACTTGAACCTGCCGTATACTCTAATGGCCCGAGCTGCGTGGCCGTCTGTCTTTAATAAAGTAGCGATCAACATACACATACACATTCACATTCACATCCACATCCACATTTACATACACATACACATACACATACACATACACATACACATACACATACACACACATACACATATACATATACATACACATACACATACACATACACATACACATACACATACACATACACATACACATACACAA